AATAAATCACATAATTCACTGTTTTTACATTCATCAGGTCCCAATCAGCCCAAACAGCAAAGAGAAATTAAAAATGCATGCCATGAAAGAGTTAAGGTCTTAGGAGGTTAAAACTTTGCAATTCTGGATTTCATGGAGGCAAAAATATAAAGAAGTGAGTGGTGACTCAATACTTTTTCAAGACTCCTGTACTGTATAGACCTCATGCTTACCCCATTGCTGTCGAGCGTGCGGAAAATCTGTTCTGCATACTCTGCTGACTCACTGCCCACAGTTCCATCACAGAAATGCCTTTGAAACTCGTGAAGAGCGATTAGCCCACTTGGACACTCGATAACAAACTTTCTGCCACAGATAAAAACAACAGTTTGTGTTTTAATACATTAAAGGAGTTGGAAAACAAGGGTAGTTTGAGAGAGGGGTCTGATTTGAGAGAAAATGTGTTTTAAATTGAGAATCAGTGGAATTAAGGTCAACCCATCCCCAACCTGTGTGGATTACATGTGTTTGAAAGCTTATTTACAGAGTGCGGCACAAGTGCCAAGATAATTAGGCCAAATGACATCATGGCAGAGTGAAGCTGATCAGTCCACAGGAGATAATACTTTACTTTGTTGCTGATGCTGGTAGTTTTGCAGATTTGCCTGCAAAAACAACAAATTCTAATCTGGCTAAATACACTGGCAATTCCTACAATGCTAAAATCAATAAGAGTAAAAATAAATGTATTGATCCCAAATTCAAGTACACTCTCGCGCTGATGGATGCTTATTTTAAATATGCTCAAACATTATTTAACAATGAAATTAGCATATGTGCAAGTAATTACAATGAGCGCCAGATTGCTCTAAAAACTAAATTTCAGATTTTTGTAATACTCTTGTCTCTGGATGATGTCAGTGAGAGCAGATTTCCTAATATGGTCAAAAGCTCCCATTCAGCTGCTGTTTATACCTGTTGTTTGTTTTGATTGGCTGCCCCTCCAAAGTTGCCTCAGGAGGTAAAACTGCTTGTTTCAGTCAGAGAATAAATTGAAGTCCAGGATAATAGATGTGCAAGGATTGTTTTGAATAAAAAATCTCTTTAAGTTGTTCTATAAATTTTATTCATTTTCACCCCTGTGTTGAGCAGCTGGATAAAACAATGACAGGTCACCCAGTCTAACTCAGGGCAACGCAGAGGCAACCACTCAGCTTATATTTACGCCCATGGTCAATCTGGTTTCAGGACTTCACCTAACAAGGACATCTTGGGACTGTGAGAGAAAGCTGGATTACCTAAAAAGAACCCACGCAGGAACAGGGAAACCATGCAACCTCCACACAGAAAGGCTCCACCCAGCTAGCAGGTTCAAACAAAGAACCAACTTGCTTTGAGTCTGCAGTACTAACCACTGCACCACCATGCCATGTCTGTTCTGTTCTGGGCATGAACGTAATAATCAATTTAAGGCTAAAGAAAATCTGCATTCGTTTTCAACTACCTGTAAAAATTTAAGACAAATTCAAAAGCTTACCTGAACCATTCATACAGCTCTGTAACATAGGACTTGCTTCTTCCACAAGTCCGGACAGCGGCTTGGCCCATACTGTAAAGACAAAGCAGCTCTGCACTCACCACTGACTTTACTTTGCAGAAATCCCAGCTTACGCTATGCTTTCTTAGTTGCTCCAAGCACTGCCTTATCACATCTGACAAATTACTCTGAGCTAATCTCCTCACATGAGGGGGGTGTTGAGGACAAAGAGAACAATGTAATTACTCAAGACAGTGCACATCACCAAGGGCCATGCAACTGCAGACTGAAGGGTGTTTCTATCAGAGCCAAAAAATCATTTAAAAATAAATAATCAACCAAAGTTTCAGCTGAAGTTTCAGTAAACTAATATTTATTCACAACCTGGGAAGACGGCCCAGACATGTTGATAATAGCAGCAATAATCCACCAGACAACATCGTCTGGAGCCCGAATATCGAACATGACTAAACTTGTGGCAGAAACCAGTATGGACAGCGGCAGTAGCAAA